TTCACAGGTATCGTACCCCTCAATGGGGTTATTCTCTAGGGGGTCTGAAAGCGCGGGCTTTGTCACTTCCGGTACCCGTGTGTCCAGTAGTGACCTTCCTAGAATAATTCGGACATTATAGGTGTCGGGGGCGACATTGACATCGATACATCTTTCATTTAAACTAAAAACACCCAATTGTATGGTGAAATCGTATTTCAACTGATAAACGGTAACAATGTCAAATTGGCTGTAGAAACTGACACGCTTGAGAACATTTTCAACGCTACACGCTTTCCTTAAGAGATACGATCCGGGGAACGTTTCAATCCTTATACGGTCAAAGCAGGAATAGTCTGCGACGTGATAGTTTAGCATGCCCCCGTCACGGTCAAACGATCTGCCGTCACTGATATTCTGGCCGTTTTTATAAAGCGATACTAACACCTTCGCGAGTCTATTCGTCACATAGTCTTTACAAACTTCAAAGCTGGCTTGAATCACCTGTACATCGTCCACTACCTGTGAGGCCATCTTAACGACTGAGACCCTCATCTGCCTCCGCCTCCGCCTCCGCCTCCGTCTCCGCCTCCGCCTCCGTCTCCGCCTCCGCCTCCGCCTCCGCCTCAGCCTCCGCCTCCGCCTCCGCCTCTTCCTCCGAATCCTCCTGGTAAAAGGAAACGTACTTTTTTCGATCTCTCAACTTAATCCGCACACATTGAACATTGGCAACTTCAAGATCAGGTAGACTGATATAGTGACGGGGTATGTCGTCGTCGTCGTCGTCGTCGTCGTCGGTGTCATTCTCTTCATCGTCATTATTTAGCATACTGTTTAAGTCAAAAGATTCTCTATGATAATCATCTTTATCGCCATAGACATGTACATCCAGCGTGTCATACTTATGGAAATCAATTAATAAATTAATTAAATCCACCGCCGCACGAGACATAGCAAATTCTCTTATAACTTCAAATTCGATTCGATCAAACACTCCGACTGTGGCGAAATCCAAACTCAACAGCCTGCCGTTCCAATCTATTTTACGTTTTAACCTACCCTTTTCAAAGAGGTTAACATAAATCCACGCAATGTTCTGCCACTTTTTTTCTTCCATGTTTATCAGACAGAGACCAGCTGTAGACTAAAAACTATACAGTCACCTTACTTACAGAACCGGTGAGTAACTTATAGGTCATGTGACTATCGTGTATTAAGAGACAGTATGCTGTAGTGCTGGCGGGAACCGCGTTCTTTGTTTCAAAATCCACTCTCACGTCTACAGGTCCCGACTTGATTGCATCATTTTGTTTGGAGCAATCGACTACGTATAGCGGGACATTGGCGTTGAACTTTTCCATTGTGACAGCGGTTTGACCGGTAGACTGCCTACCATAATATGATTCTAGAAATCGACAAAACATTTCGTAAAATAGTGTTTTATCTCCGTTAATGTTGTCGTAGGGGAAATATTGAGAATTCAAATACACCTTGATGTTTGTCAAGTCGCAGTGGTCAAACGAGGACATGTCTTTAGCGTATTGATTTTTCCTATCCTCCTGAAATGCCAAAATGACATATCGAGGTTTCTCTAATTGTGCTGATGTTTTAACCGTCCACGAGTGTATATTAGTTTGTGGCAGTGACGGGTATTCGTGAAGCTCCCAAGACCTAAAAGGTATATGGACCGTGGTGTCCTTTTCGATCATGCGCAACATAGTAAGTCGGTAGGAGTCGGAAACGTTCACATGAGGAACACGCCAGTACACCCCTGTAATTGTTATAGAAACATCACTCGCGTCATTACTGATTACAGCATTTTTATCTGAAGCGGAGCGCAGAAGCACCAACTCCTGTTTGTTATTTACAATTACACGTCTGTAGTCCTCAGCAAAACCGAGTAAAAGACGTAGTGGAACGGAAAATGAAAACTCTTTGGACTGTAATTTCTCGCCAGGGCCTAACCAGCAGGCATTCTGCAACATATTCACCTCATGGGGTCTGATCGAAAGAACATTTTTCATAGTTGTTGTAATACCGACATTCTTTGTCCTATCCACTTCAATACCCGCAATCTCATAGCGTATTTCATCAAAGAAAAACGCCACCGCGTTATTCACGAAATGCCACGGCGCCTCTGTTCTATCAGTTTTTGTACTTTTAACCGTACCCTTAACGAGCAATGTACTCTCAAACGGTGCTGTAATAATATCCTGTTGACTGATCGGTATTCGGATCTCATCGTTATTTTTAAACGTGGACGACGCGTATGGCTTGTGAGTGTGAAACTCCATGCCGGTGATGGCATCACTGTACTCTGCCTTTGTGTTTATATCCAACATTTTCAACCTTAAATCCAAGAGACCGCAAAAACTTAACACTCGACGATGTTAACCGTACAACGTCTTTTGGCCTACTGATGTTTGGAACAGGTAATATGTCCCTAAATACCAGTCCCATTGTTCTTTTTTCTAACGTGTAACCTAACAGACAATCTTTCGTTTCTGAGATTAATCAAGTTGCCGTCTTGATCGCGCAGAGATATCGACACGTTGTTGACACTTGAAACGTTCACTGGTAAGTAAATTATTGTGTTAGGTATCTCGACTATTTTATACCCTGGACCTACATTTGGGTAAAATTCGTGCACCGTATGACTTTCTCTACCGTTATCAAACGATCCACGAACAATATTACACTCGACACGAATAACATCAACTTTCATTATGTTGACTGTAGTATCGGATACATGTGTTTTCCCAGCTTCAAGGACTCTATTGGAGAAGCCTAGCAAGGATCCGATTGAATCGCCTTTAGTAAAATCAACACTCTGTGAGCAGAAAATTTCCGAACGTAAGGTGCTGTTGTTAGCTGTGAGCTTAAATTCCACATCCTTTCCCAGTTTCGCCTTTAAAGTAGACTCTATATTTTCCACTTCATATGCCCCTTCATCAATACTGACAACTCCCGCTTTACCATAGTAAAACTTGTTATTTATTCCAGATTCAATGTTGGGGATTGAATGAAAAGTCATTAAATCCACAAGTCCAATCTCCCACTCACCATCGCTCATGTCAACAGGTGGAAAGTATTCATTTGTAATATACGATCCACGACCGCTTAAGCTAAACATTTTTGCAGAGAAACTCTAGACACAAATGCCCGCAAACAACTGAATCAAATGATTGCACTCTACGATAATTATAGAAGACTTCACAGTTGGCAAAGTACTGCAACAGTTCTAGCGGAGGTTTTAAGTTGCCAAAACTATCAAAATAATGCACCCGACTACCCTCTTTTCTATAGCACACCCAATGTGTGCCTTCACCCACTGCCGAATCTAAGTTTACAATAGCAGTCTCATTTAAGTTAGGTCGAACAGGTAGAGTGTCTCTCATATACACTCCGCGAAAATGAGGGATTTTCAGTAATTTCGCGTAGTATTTCAAGTCGTAATTTGTCAACGGTCTTAGCGGGATCCACGTTTTTTTTTCCTCGTATTCCGCTTTTTACGTTTAACTCCACCCCCTCTAGGGTAGGGACGCAGATACAATCCTCTACCTCCAGGTGTCTTTTTCTTAACTCTACGAGTCGATTGCTTCTTCTTCCTCTTTCCACCACCAAACTTTGCCTTTGTCTTCATCGCTGTAGTTACTGCCCAGGCAGCCGCCTTTTCTCCTACAGACGCGTCTGATGATTTAAATCTACGCCAAGCGCGTTCTGCTAGCTCCTTATCTGCCTGTTGTCTGTGCGCGTTATCTTTGTACCTCGAATATGCGATATCGTGCACCTTACACGCTTCGTCTAAACCGTTAATACCTCTATCACCTCTGGCTAGTCTCTTTTTTAACCTTGTTCCAGGTCCACAATAATTATAACCCGGCAGGTGAGCTTCAAAAGGTAAAAGGTCCACAGCTTTGTTAACAATAGAAGATATAAGACCTTCTCCGACGACGGCTCTTTTGCGTCTGACCGATGTTATCCTCTTCCCAACCATTTTAATACTGATTGGAATGAGATATTTTAACTTGTCTTAAAAAGGTCGTCCCAGGTTGCTGTCTCATGAACAACCTGCCCCCTCCATTCGTCATATGAGGTTAGACTCACGCGTTTCGTCTGATTCATCTGTTTATACAGTGAATAGGCTAATTCCGCGATAATTTCTTTGACGTACTGCTTGTTTACAGCATCGCTCAATGCTTGTGGTTTACTAACATTCGCTATTCGCCTACCCTTAACATCCCAGGATTTATCATTATTAGGTAAAATTGAATTACGTTGAAGATATTGTAGGGTAATCGCATCATGAGCACTTGATGGATCAGCGACATGACCTAAACGTTTATCCTTAAAGTTCCATGCTAATGAGCCTTGTAAAGGTACACGGTTGTCCATGTACAATTTATTTACAGCATCTCCCGCTCTACTAGGAGGTGCCAAGTTTTGGATAACCGTATTTTTTACATCAAAAGCCCCATCTTTATTTTTAACTAAGGCTGTGCTGTTTAGACACTGAAGATTTACCGCATCCGCGTCTTTTACCGGCAGTGCTACGTTCCGAATAACTGCATTTTTTGCATCAAACTCTCTCTGTACACTTTCTCGTGTTATAGCGTTTTCTTTAAGAAACAATAGATTAACTCCGTCTCTATCAGCTTTCGGCTCTGCAACGTCTTGCAACCGGTAATGGTGTATTGAGTATGCTTTTGCATCAGTCAATTTAAGCGGCGTATGAAAATCCATATACTGCTTAGACACAGCATCATTAATACTAACAGGGTCAGCTATATTACACACACGGGTGTTTTGAGCATCAAAATGACCACTTTGCCTTGTCATACAGTTTAAAAGTGATTCCGCGTGTGTTCTAAAATTAATCACATCAAAATTGTCCTTTGGATTTTCGACATTACACAAACGTTTACCCTGCATATCATAGTTACCATCTTGAGTCAGTGCAAAGCCCTCGCCCTTTGGCCCAACAAGAGCCTTTTCCTTTTTCTCGTAACGTCCGAACTTGTCTACACCCATTGTAAAAGTGATTTGTATCTACTATTGCCCGCCCCTTTTATAAACCCAGCTTCACGTAGCTCCTCCACAATATTAAGGATTTCATTACTATGAGATGTGTTTCCAGACTCAGTTGACGCGGTTAGTAGTTTCATTCTGCTTACAAGTTCATTAGGGTCGTCCCAGTGAACAATATCCCGAGATGTAGCAGTCTTCCAAGTCATGCCCCGGCCCTGTTTAGCGGGAAATAATTTTCTAATGACGTGTTTGTATTTCAAACTATTATCCCTTCTTATTTGCTTGTAAAAGCTGTATTGTTTTTTGTGCGCGTTTGTTGCTACTAATATATTCTTGTATGTCTGTAGGTCTTCACTATTGTATAGATCCTCATCGGGTAGTCGTTTGAACAACAATTCGTATAAGCCGACTGTAGGTTGATATTTTGTATTATTTATAACCAATGACCCGTCGCTGTCAAATTCTAATTCTTTATCACCAATCATTAACTTATTGCCGTCACTATTGTAACGGGGACCATAATCATGATCAATTATTCGAGACTTTCCGCCGGCATCTGCCATGAGTAGTTTCATATATTTCCGCGTCAACGGGTTTTCAAAATGTTCGTCGACATATCGGGAAGCCGTTTCCAAGCCTACAGGTGAAGACACAACATCATGCAACCGGTTCGGTGTCGAAACGCCAGTAGGTTTAAACGACTGGTTAAAGTAATTATCATCATCGTCCCCACTGACATAATCCATTGCTTCTTCTCCTTCTTCTTCTTCTTCCCCTTTGACAGCAGACATTTGTTCAGCTTTTATTTGAGGCTCAGTTTTTTTCAATTCTCTGATAATCGGTCTATACTGCTGCTCTAGTAATCTTTCATTTTCAACATTACCATCTTTAAATCGTCGAAACTTACGTCTTACCGCCTCTTCTAGTTCGGCAATTTTCGACACAAGGTCTTTATTCTTCCGACTCATCTTTGCTACTGAACTATCAACCAACAACAACAACACATTTATGGCAGCTCAACCTGCCTGAAAAACATTGCGCGTCTCTTGTGTTTACGCAAATAACGCACCACGTCCTTTAACGAGATACCAGATGCTATATTGATACCTCTGTAGTACCTCTTAGTGTGTGCATCAAATAGTGGTATATTGTATCGTGTTGACCAACTTCGAAAAACAAAAGTCCTTTTCCACCCTCCTCTCCATTGTGGTATTTCAGCCACAGTGTATCTATCATCACTGTTATCCATATATTTTTGTAAAAGACTCATTGGCCGTTGAGCCTGATTGTGGTGTAATAGAAATGAATTTACGAGCCAAAACTCGCTAGGATTTGCGCCTGTAAATTCTCGCCACTGATCAAATAGTGCTCTATTAGTTATTGTATAAACACCGTCACTACTAAGACTTATACCAAAATGGTCGCAATAGAGTGGTAAAGTTGGCAATGCCGCTTTCAAAAAATCTGTAGTAAAAAGTCCTTGGCACAGGTTGTTTGCTGCTGCATAGCGCTTACCCCGAACCCCAGGAGGTAATCCTGGAGGCACTGGACCGTATGCTACATTATAACTAATGTCAATATGACATTTAGAAGCTAATGCCGTCTTATATATTGTTACGGGGGACCTTATTGGTAGTGTACGCTCAGTTAATACTATGCAACGAGCGGCGTAAGGGATTTTACACCCATATTCAAGCATTCTCAGATAAATCTGTGTAAAGTTTATGCCGCCATGCCGGTCTCGTAGAGGTAGGACCTTTCCAAAAATATCTGGAAACGGTCTGAATCGCGATAACATATTATGAGATTCGCGTACAGTACAGTTTGTCATATCTTCGTGGTAGATAACAAGCTCTAGTGGTACCTTTTTTTCTTCGCATTTTGCTAAAAACTTAATCCACAGTTCACGGTTGTAGGTGCGTTCACTAGCAGATATCATAAGTAAAATTACAGGAGGCAGTGTGGCGCTTTGTTTTGCAGCTTTATGTCGCCAGCACCGCCGGTTATAAGGATGACCATGACGCCCCTTTCTGCTGCAATAATTACCGCAAAACTTTCTCCTATCTGAATAGTAAAAAGTGCAGAGATTTGATTTAACATTATGAAGTTTTGTGTCGTAACCTCTAAGATCGTTGTACGTATAGATGTTTACCATTGTAGTTCAACTATAAAACTAATGTGTACTGTACAAAGCATAGCACTTTTACATAACACATACCCCCCACCGCTATCACAAATCCTCTACAAAAAAGTCAAATTTCAATCTGTACCTCCCTTTGTTAATATCACGAGTCTTATCTATTACCAAAAACCCATGATTTTCCTTCCACGCTTGAGCACACAACCCTCTGAACTTATCAAAGCTCATATCAGTGTTAACATGATCAGTGTATACATGTCTTAGATTCATATCATCCTGCCTGAATAGTATAATAAAGTTACAGTTGTCTCTCACCAACTGTTTAGGAATCTTACTGTACGACTGACCAAGATAGAATACATCAATATTCCTATGTCTACCCATTGAAAAATAGGACCGGATGTTGTTGTGCTTTTCACATGATATATCGTCAAATATCATAACTGAATTCGGCTTAGCTTCGCTTGGGTCGACAATTTGTTCATTGTCATTGAATGCAAAGTATCCGACTTCTTTGGGTAAAGCTGACGAAAGAAATTTGTATTTCGGCTGATAGAGGGATTTTGAAAACACGTAGATATTTTCAAATACTACACCATTTGGATCGAATATAAGATTGAATAACACGTTCGTTTTTCCCGCATTTGAAGGACCTGATATAATACAACGTACTGCTTCCGGCAAAAGGGGCCCATTTTTATTAATAGATGAGCTCATACCGGTACCAAAATATTCATCAAAATTCCGGACAGAAATATGAGATCCTTGCTCAGCTAGTCTCATTGTGACACTGAAACTTTTCCTCTCCTGCTTGAACTTTAAATAACACCTCACCGAGGGATAGCTCTAAATAAGAATATCGCTTTTGTTAACCCATGTGTCGTCTTTACCATCAAAACCCAACCAGCGAACTAGCACTTTATCCCCTTTACGTTTTATTACTTTCTCCACAAGATATACATCCCCAGTCTTAGATATACTCAGCTCAGCCTCATAAAATCCGCCCTTAAGGATTTCCCCTTTAGAATCTTGTAAGATATAAGTAACCGGGTGGGTTGGCTTTATTGCATATATTTTAAATACTTCGTTTGTCCAGTTAGGCATGTATCCTTTAGTGAATACCCGCTTGTATTTGCTAATTCTCACAGAATCGCCGACAGAAAACTTTGGTTTGGCAGCAGCAGCAGCCGTAGCACTTTTATGACTACTATTTATTCGCGATAAAATTGCTTTAACATGTTTTTGCCTCACGTCCTTGGGTTTCATTCCTATAGTTCTATGTTTTGAATTGTTATATTGATCAACGAGCTTCTGCAGAATAGATACCCACTCATAGCTCCCCTTTGCTGTAAATAACGTCCACATTTTTTGTTTTATTGTCCTGTTGAACCTCTCAACAATGCTGGCCTTGAGATGTGAAAATGTCGCATAATGATTAATTTTAAACCTGCTGACTAACGCTTTAACATCCTTGTTGAACCATTCTTTACCCTCGTCGGTTTGTAGATGTTTCATTTTATGTTTTAATAATATCGGCTCTAGCACTTTAGCTACTTCAACACCTGTCTTGCCTTTAAGCGGGATCGCAAAAGCAAATTTAGTGAAACAATTAATCATAGTTAGTATATAACGATAACCTTTATTGTATTTTGCATACGGTTGCATCTCAACTAAATCCGCCTGATAGAGATCATTAATACCTTTAAGAGTCACTCTACGTCTTGGATAATTTCGGCGAGCGGGTTTGTGCAGCTCTTGAGCTATTACTCTCCTGATGTCCATTTTGAAATGACATTTAATTTCGCGTTACAGACTACTTTATTTAGAGCGCTACAAAAAGGGGAGAGCATCTGTGTCGCAGTTGCGAGATGGGCTTCAATTTGTTCTGTTGTGTTGTTATATCTCTTCCGCCGCGGTCACCGCCTATAGTTAGAGCCGCTCGATCGTACAGAAAACCGAAACCTGACAACGAGGTCTCTAATACAATACACCATTACGAGGTTGTAGGGCCTGCACAGCTGCCACTACCGCCACTACCGCGACAATAGGTGAGTTTATTTTCTCTAAAAAGGATGTCATAGCCCCTCCACCGCTATGACACGTGAAGGCCTTCCACAATCATTATAGTTGCCTCCTCCGTGCGGTATATTTTGTATACGCGGTGACCATGTGGTGACCGAGCACCTCATTAAAGACTTACTATTATGTTGTCTCAGTAGGTGACAACCTCAGTTACACTTGTCGCGTCAGGATCTATATTTAGACTCCCCACTACTATCTCAGTAGGAGATGCTTCTCACCATATGTGAACGTGGGAATAGTGTGTAGTATCATGTTGGCTCTACTATTATATATACATAGTGTTTGTAAATCTGCTCTTGTGACTTTAATTGGAAAAGATAATCAGTGTGAAAAATATTACGGGCCACGTGTTTGTGTTGTTCATCCCACCATAAGAGAACGATCGAACTCTTCTGGTAGTGCTAGTACTCTATGGAACTTTGGAGGACCTGCTGAGTGGTCAAGTGAAGAGGAGGAAGAGAGGGAAGACTCTTCAGAAGAGGAATTTATTTGGAGATTACAAGGTGGAGGAGGCTGGAATGGATGGCGAGATTATTAGCAAGATGATGATGATTGATTTGGTGAGTGATGTTTCTTAAAACCGTACGGTAAAGTATCATAGTCCCCATCTCGTTTACGCTTAGGCCCCGTAATCTTAAAACGTTTCGTTTCCCAAACAGTCAGCACGTCCTTACATTTAGTTCGCCTAATTCTCATCTCTGTAACCTCATGCATCGGATTTTCACTTGCTGACAAGACCATTTCTTTGAGTTTTTGAAAATTTAAACTTTCGCTAGCTTTTAGGTTCAGAGTCAGTCCTTTGATTTTACAAACAGAAACAAGATTAGGTCTAACGCCTTTATTAGTATACACAACATAGGCATACGTCTTAGGACCTCCAGAGACAAAAGCAATAATAAATGAACCTGGTCCGTAGTCAGTCAGCTCATCAGTCATCTCACCTAAATAGTCACCAGTAGGTACTTTATGTAGATTATCGCTTAAAAGATATACAACACTGTCTGTGTCGTAGTAGATTACCTGTGCTCCTAAAGCCTTAAGATGCTCGTACAGCTTCAACCGTGCTTGCGCTGTCGTGTATGCCGCTATAGCCACATTCACCCTACGCAAAGAACCACCCACCTCCTCTATATTTTGCCAATTTACCAACAATGTATCTTGATTGATTTCCTGAATAGTATTTACCTGAACAGCAGGGTTAATTAACATATTGAACAGAGTCTCAGGATCTCGCACAATAGTAGCCTTTGTCTGATTTTCTCTCTCCCCAAATTTTCCCCAAAAGCTGTTCAACATTAATTTTGCTAGTGATCGGAGACCGCCGTTCTTTTCAATTTTCAAAGGATCCAAACTGATTCCTTCATGGTCAAGGTACTGCCTTATATATCTATTTTTGTCCTCATCAGTTTGACACCATTCTGGATATCCTGATGCTTCTTGTTTCATTTTCAGAAATTTATTAATAAACTCTGTAAATAGGCCTCCTTTTTCAAAAGTTGCAACACCATATTCCCAGAGTTCATAGTACTGTAGAATATTATATCCGTTCTCTACTGCTACGCGGATCTCATCCATTACCCATGTTCCTACCAAGGCTCTTTCGTCATCAGAGTGATGACAGGTATCCTGGTTTGTCTCCTCACCACATTTTCTGCAAAGTACAAACATAAGCTTCCCATGCATTCTTGAAGGAAGAACCGGGTGATATAGATCTACTGGAGGAAGGATTTTACATTTCAACAAACCCTCTACAGACAATCCTCTTCCCCGGCATTCTGCATCTCCAACATATACCGTCGGATGGCCTACAGGGTACTTTCCATACTTACACACATATGGGTACAGCGAACAAACATCTACATATTTTATTTCCTCACCAGACTCACACTCATGATAGGTTTTTGTGTTTCCTGTACGGCCACCATAAAACGCGTCTCGTGGAATCAACGGTACATTGTTTAAAACCGGGTGGTTCTCCAAATAACTAAGATTCTCTTGTTTCTTTAACACAAGAAAATCACACTCCCACATCTCTATCACTTCATATAAAGTGTTGGCTAATCTGTCCATTTTCTCTTTTGTCTTTTGGTATCTATTGTTAAGCGTGTCAGATGGGTCATCCTGGAGGCGCTCGTCACGTTTGAAAGGAAAGCATTTTTTGCAGCCGTGGAAGTAGCACCCGTGGAACTCATAAATACGCTCTCCATCAAACCCATCAACTTTATAGCCATCTATAACTGTCTCTCTCTCCCTACCAGCATGCTGTATTCGTACATTTCTTTGCATCTCCTCGTAGACTAACCACTGGAGAGCTATAGATGATTGAGTGTCACCCATCCTATAGCCTTGCTTAGGAATCAGTCCTATTGTATTTGGTTTGAGAAAATTTCTCCTAAACGCAAGATTACAAGCACTTGCTATTGTCACAGCTTCTAAGAACGGGTCTACATTGCACTCGGTCAATAGTAGGTTCCTAAATTTAATGCAGGCCTGTGCAAGGATGTCAACATCAGAAATACAGTATTCCACCAGTTCTTTTTGAAAATCAAATGTATAATTACTGTTTACCTGCTCATCATACCATCTCTGAAAGTCCTCATGCGTCTTTTCAAACATTGTATCAGGGCAGAAATATTCTCGAGGTGGCATTGGTCCTTTGTAGCTCTGGTTTGCTAAGCTATTAAAGAGGTGGGGAAAGTAACCTTTCTTCTTCTCAGGTGGCAAATCAAAAGCTTTTGGAAGGGCTGACAGAGGCATTGGAAAATAGTTAAGGGAATCAATGAAGCGCAAATTATCAAACTTCATTAGAACAATCTTAGATCCGCGCATAATCAGTTCAGGAGTGAATTTTGTATTTTCTAATACATATTTAAGAACGAATTGAAAATCAAAGCCCTGACCATTGTGTGCAATCACACATACATCTTTATAATGTCTCCTTAGAGCCAATACGTAGTCCATAAAGCCGTGGACAGGATCATCTAAAAATATGCGGGTCCTAGCTTCACATTCTTCACAAGGCGGCTCATTAATACATTTATGGCAGAACCGTTGAGAGACACAAAGGTTGACTCTATGAACCTTTTTATCACGCTCAAACTCTGATAGGCATTCGTCTTGTCTTGTCTCAAAATCAAAGAATATGTAGAGAAAATCTGATGTTTTTGGTTTTCTAGTATCTACTTGCATATAACACTTGTGGTTCGCCTCTTTAAAGTCCATACATATTTGACACCAAACCTCACCACAAACATGAGGAGCTTTCCTCTTACTCAACCAAATCAGTTTGGTACACTCTTGACATTTATAAACTGATTTACATATACTGTTCTGATGAGCTGTAAAACAGAGCTGGTTTTTAAAGTGTCTATTACACTTCGGACAAAATATACCATTATATTCTATCTTACATGGCGGAGATGTTATCATACAAGCTGAACAAATAGTTTCACAATGATGATCACCAGCTGTGTTATACGGGACGTGACAGCCTTCACAATAATAATTACAAGCAAAAGCACCGGTCAGATTAGTAATCACATTATAGTGACCCTCATGAAACATAAGGTTAATTTTATACTTGGCATTCTCCGGATCACCTGAGTAATACACTTCACGCCCCTTTCTGTCATAATTGTATACGGTTATTTGATACTTTTTCAAATGAGATTGGAATTTTTCTAATTCTGTCACACCCGCTCCTTCTGTAGGAATATCTATTTGTGTTTTATCCAACAACTTTCTAGCTTTAAGGTCCTGACGCCGCCCCTTATTTGCCCTAATCAATGTCCATTCAGGGTCTTTTTTCGCGTGAGCCTTTGCTACTACCAAAGCTCGTGGAAGGCACAGATTATCTTTATTTTTAATTACCACTATTGATTTTCTTGATCGACACTCCTCGTCAAAACTATTAAAAAACCCTGGTCGTCTACGTCCACTGCCTACAGGTAAATTAACACGGGTACAGGTGATTTTAAACGTGTCACTAGATTTAATTATGTCAGTATTACTTTGAATTATTCCCCCGAATATTTCCCACAGGATCTCTCCATTAACCTTATCAGCGGGTCTAAACGCTACGTACCCGGGCTCACTTTGTTTTAGATTCAAACTCTGCAGTGTAAACCCGAGCTGATCAGTATCAGACGCTTCAGATTTAACCTTATCAACCAATTCATTAAACCCATGCTTCAACCACTCAAGCTCATTTGTATCTTTAGGCGGATTATTGAATTTAAATGTAGTCCTAATACCATACAACCTGAATCTTTTAACATATGTCTCCTGTGTACTTAACACCTTAACAACTTCCATTTAGTTAAGTATCAAAACACATAGTGAAAAAAAGCAGTATAATATAATAGTGTACTTAACACCTTATTAACTTTATTTAGTTAAGTATAGAAACACGTACTGGTCAGCGGCAGAATAGTATGATACATTAAAATAATACAATACAACACAAGTTTTAATAAAACACTACTACCGGCATAACAGCGTAAAGAATAGAACAGTGAATTAAATGCTAAACTCACCTCAAGTCAGAGAAAGACACTGAACAAGACTGATTTCTTCAAATAAACTTCCATCCTTTTATAAGACAACAAGCGGAAGTAGGCCTTGGCCTCACACCAAATATGGCCAAGCATCAAAGTGACACACAATACGCATATCATGTCCTCGACATTATTAGCCAAAACATTTTAGTCACGATTGTGCTATTATGCCCTCGACATTGTTAGCCAAACATTTTAGCCAAAATTGTGCCAACAATACAACCTATTGCAACAATATAACAGGGTCGCATAACAATGCGACCATATATATTCCAATTACGCACCGTCGCGCGAGCACGTCCATGGCCCCTGTCGCCGCGCGATCACATCAAGCACGTCCGGGGTCGCACGTCGCCGCGCGATAACATCTAACCCAGAGACACGCATATTCACAGTAAAGCCTAGTCAACTTAAAGAATATTAAACAGTCACAGCAGCGTTCAACCATCAAGTGGATATTACTCCACAACAGCACTGTGCCACTGATATATTCAGTTTGATACCAACACATATTAATATAACACACTATCTGTTAATTAGCATGTTGGTTTAATCGAATACTGTTTTTAGTTCAGTTGTTTAAAACCCTCTGCAAAATAACAGTTAGAATACCCCTACAAACAATACATAAGATTTATTTACACTGAATTATATTAACCGAGCGGGGATTTTTGTGGGATATTTGCACAGGGATCCCGGTGCAGGGATTTATCCCGCTACCACCACGGAACCAAACTCACAGGACCTAGTGGTGAAAATCAGAACTACACACACCACCCCCGGGGGCGGCAATCACCTAGCGGCCAAAATCAGAACTCCGTCAATCTCTTACACCGCACAGCGAATTCCCACAGGATTTTTTTTTCCCACCATAGACACGCGGGACACCTAGCGGCCAAAATCAAAACTCCGTCACCCCTCTGGTGGCCAAAATCAAAACCAAACACACCTAGCGGACAAAATCAGAACTCCATCACCCCTCCTCTGGTGGCCAAAATCAAAACCAGACACATTAGCTGCGGCGGCGGCGGCGGCGGCGGCTACCGCGGCAGCCAACGCATCCATATACACCCTTACACTCTTGTATTATTAACTACCGTTGTAGCCGAGTGGATAGCGTACTCGCCTCTCACCCAGGCGCCCCGGGTTCGAATCCTCAACCCGCCCAAACACTTTTTATCCTATACACACACACCTCCAAGTCTATTATACCACCTTACACTCTTATCCTATTAACTGCCGTTGTGGCCGAGTGGATAGCGTACTCGCCTCTCATCCAGTCGGACCGTGTTCGATCCCCCGAGCCGCCAAGTACTTTTTATCCCATGTCCAAATATGGAGCTCCCATAAGAGCCCATGTAAGTTCTATCTTCGCCCACATACTACTTACAAGAATGTACAATTTTGTACAAGTGTGTACAAGTTTGTAAAAGGTTGTACAAGTGTGTACAAGGGTGTACAAGTGTGTACAAGGTTGTACAAGTGTGTACAAGCTTGAACAAGTGTGTACAAGGTTGTACAAGTGTGTACAAGGTTGTACAAGTGTGTACAAGGTTGCACAAGTGTGTACAAGAGTGTACAATCGTGTACAAGCTTGTACAAGTGTGTACAAGGGTGTACAGGTTTGTACAAGGTTGTACAAGTGTGTACAAGGTTGTACAAGTGTGTACAAGGTTGTACAAGTGTGTACAAGGGTGTACAAGTTTGTACAAGTGTGTACAAGTTTGTACAAGTGTGTACAAGTTTGTACAAGTTTGTACAAATGTATACAAGGGTGTACAAAAGTGTACAAGGGTGCACAAGTTTGTACAAGGGTGTACAAGTGTGTACAAGCTTGTACAAGTGTGTACAAGCTTGTACAAGTGTGTACAAGGGTGTACAGGTTTGTACAAGGTTGTACAAGTGTTTACAAGGGTGTACAAGTATGTACAAGAATGAACAAGTTTGTACAAGTGTGTACAAGTTTGTAAAAGGTTGTACAAGTGTGTACAAGGGTGTACAAATGTGTACAAGGGTGCACAAGTGTGTACAAGGGTGTACAATCGTGTACAAGCTTGTACAAGTGTGTACAAGGGTGTACAGGTTTGTACAAGGTTGTACAAGTGTGTACAAGGTTGTACAAGTGTGTACAAGCTTGTACAAGTGTGTACAAGGTTGTACAAGTGTGTACAAGGTTGTACAAGTGTGTACATGTTTGTACAAGTGTGTTTAAGTTTGTACAAGGTTGTACAAATGTGTACAAGGGTGTACAAAAGTGTTCAAGGGTGCACAAGTTTGTACAAGGGTGTACAAGTGTGTACAAGCTTGTACAAGTGTGTACAAGGGTGTACAGGTTTGTACAAGGTTGTACAAGTGTGTACAAGGGTGTACAAGTATGTACAAGAATGTAAAATTTTGTACAAGTGTGTACAAGGGTGTACAAGTGTGTACAAGGTTGTAAAAGTGTGTACAAGGTTTTACAATTGTGTACAAGGTTGTACAAGTGTGTACAAGGTTGTACAAGTGTGTACGAGGTTGTACAAGTGTGTACAAGGTTGTACAAGTGTGTACAAGGTTGTACAAGTGTGTACAAGGTTGTACAAGTGTACACAAGTTTGTACAAGTGTGTACAAGTTTGTACAAGTGTGTACAAGTTTGTACAAGGTTGTACAAATGTGTACAAGGGTGTACAAAAGTGTACAAGGGTGCACAAGTTTGTACAAGGGTGTACAAGTGTGTACAAGCTTGTACAAGTGTGTACAAGCTTGTACAAGTGTGTACAAGGGTGTACAGGTTTGTACAAGGTTGTACAAGTGTGTACAAGGGTGTACAAGTATGTACAAGAATGTACAATTTTGTACAAGTGTGTACAAGTTTGTAAAAGGTTGTACAAGTGTGTACAAGGGTGTACAAGTGTGTACAAGGTTGTACAAGTGTGTACAAGCTTGAACAAGTGTGTACAAGGTTGTACAAGTGTGTACAAGGTTGTACAAGTGTGTACAAGGTTGCACAAGTGTGTACAAGAGTGTACAATCGTGTACAAGCTTGTACAAGTGTGTACAAGGGTGTACAGGTTTGTACAAGGTTGTACAAGTGTGTACAAGGTTGTACAAGTGTGTACAAGGGTGTACAAGTTTGTACAAGTGTGTACAAGTTTGTACAAGTGTGTACAAGTTTGTACAAGTTTGTACAAATGTATACAAGGGTGTACAAAAGTGTACAAGGGTGCACAAGTTTGTACAAGTGTGTACAAGTGTGTACAAGCTTGTACAAGTGTGTACAAGCTTGTACAAGTGTGTACAAGCTTGTACAAGTGTGTACAAGGGTGTACAGGTTTGTACAATTTTGTACAAGTGTTTAATAAGGTGTACAAGTATGTACAAGAATGTACAAGTTTGTACAAGTGTGTACAAGTTTGTAAAAGGTTGTACATGTGTGTACAAGGGTGTACAAGTGTGTACAAGGGTGCACAAGTGTGTACAAGGGTATACAATCGTGTACAAGCTTGTACAAGTGTGTACAAGGGTGTACAGGTTTGTACAAGGTTGTACAAGTGTGTACAAGGGTGTACAAATGTATACAAGGATGTAAAAGTTTGTACAAGTGTGTACAAGTTTGTACAAGGTTGTACAAGTAAGTACAAGTTTGTACAAG